AGCATCCGTCAGGCCAGCCCAGCCCAGCTGACTGGCCCACCCCGACGTTACACTTGAGCCCTACATGGCCTCGGCCCCTTCCTTCCCACCGCTGGCAGCTCTCAAGGACTGGGTATCTGTCTGCCCTTCCGAGAGCCGTGGGTTTCTCCTAGGTCTGCCCAGAATCGTGAGGAATATAACCGTATGAGGGACAGTCAGAGAGGAAGGCCTAACAGGAGAAGCTAAGAGCAGTGGCTGAAAGGCCGGAGCAAGAGAGCAAAACCAAGAGGACTGGCGGAGCGGGCAGTCACAGAAGCCCAGACAAGAGGGTTTCAAGGAAGCAGTGCCTGGCTGGTGTCTGTGCCTCCCACTGACGGACGACCCGACCTCCTGTATTACAGAGGACAGAAGTCATCACCTGAAAGTGCCCACAGCTTCTCAACCCCAACTCTAGTGTAGCTGCGTCCACACCTGCCCTTCCTCTGAGCTCTCAGAAGAGTCCTGCCTTCTGCCCAAGGCTCTGTCCTCCGTCTGGTCTCCCGGTCCCATCCCCCTCCCACTCCATGGCTTGTCTTCTCTCTCCGGCATCTTGCTTGGTCCAGAGACTCTCTTGGCTCTCCCTTCCCTCCCAGACAAAACTAAAACACTACTCTGCCCTGGACCTGCTGCAAATACACTTTGTCATTCTCTTCCCCGTACAGCCCAGCACCTTTAGTCAACTTAGTACACTATTTACTCTCCAACCCACTGCAATCTGCTTTCTGCCCACTACCAGACCGCCTAAAGCATTCTTACAAAATGGCCAATGGCCTTTACCTTTTTAAAAAAAATAAAGACTATTTTCACTTATCTTCCTGCCTCCAAAGAGCCTGATCCTGCTGACCACACCCCTTTTTGTGAACAGCTGTCTTCTTCATGGGACTTGTGACTACAGCCTCTCCTGGTTTAAATGCTCTCGCTCTGGGGCACCCCTGCCTGGTCCCCTCTGAGAGTCCCCAACTGCTGACAGCTTGCTCTTCAGTGTCCACCAGCATTCTGGTCCTCGGCCAGCTTATCCCTCTCAATCTCTGAACGCTGCCTGGGAGCCCTTACCTGTGACTCTGACCCCATCCACTGCTGACGACACTGCATGTCTAGCTCCTGCTTGGACCCAGGACCTCAGCTCCAGACTGGCACCTCCTTCTGCCTCTAGGAAATCTCCAAGAGCACATCCTGACACCTAAAACTCAACACACCCCAAATGCAACTGGCTCGTCCTCACCCCAAAAACTGATTCCTCCTTGGGTTCCTTACTAAATGACCCACACCACCATCTCCTCAGAGGCTGGAGCCAGAAAGCTGGGTGCCATTCTCCTTCCTCTCCCTCCCTTTTCCTGTGGCTACTCAGTCATCGATCCATGCAGCCTTTTCTTCTTAACTACAGCTCCCAAACCAATCATCCTCCCAGACCAGTCACCTCCCCTGCTCTCCAGTGCCCACGGGACATACAGCCTTCCTGCCTCTAGCCCCGGCCCTTCCAGCCTCCCCCACATTACAGAGCAACGTCTATAAAGAGTGAATCTCATCCTCTCCTCCCGATTCAAATGTTTCAGTGATCCTCCCCTGGCTGACTCTGAGGACGGCAGAGGGTTACTGAAGTATTGTAGTCAAGCGAAGTGATCAAATTCAAAGAACAAATGGATGACAACAGCCACAGCAGAAGACCTGGTTCTCTATACTTTCTGACAAACAAGAACGATTTTTTTCAGTTACAAAGTCTCACCAAAGGAATATTAAGATGCATTTCAGAATGAAGAAAGCTGAAACTCGAAAGGAGCGAGATGCAAGAAGGCCTGGTGCCTACAGCATGTGGGTGAAGAGAAATGATCAGCGACTGTAGACACACTGTGATTTAGGGAGTATCAAGCACATGGTAGGACCGAGGTTATGCATAAGACTAGGATGGGGCTCAGGCGTGCTAATGTCTTTGTATATTTTATAGGAGGGTAAAGATATTGACTAACTTTAAACAATAATCATAAAGTAATACAAATAAAATGTAAAACTTTCAAACTACATAGTACAGGAGATAAAAAAAAAAAAAATAAAACCTTAAGGCACAAAAGGAGAAAAAAAAGGAAATACAGAGTTGGAATAGAAAACATAAAATAAGATGGAAAAAAATAAAAGTAAACACAATAAAAAACATAATGAAAATGAATTCAATGCAACAGTTAAGGAGATAATCAGATTGGATTACAAATCCAGTTTAGCCCTGGCTGGTGTGGCTCAGTGTTTAAGCTTCAGTCCACACATCAAAGGGTCTCAGGTTCAGTTTCCGGTCAAGGGCACCTTAACTCAGACAGCCACAGATTCTACAGTATCCCTTTCAGGTTGTTGTTGGGACACAGGACACAAACCCACTCCTTGGTCATCTGCTCTGGACCGGGATTTCTCAGCCTTGCCACCATGCACACCTGAAGCTGGGTGATGGTGAGCATCCGTCCCGTGCACTGCAGTGAGTTCAGCAGCATCCCTGGCCTCTATCCACTAGAGCCAGTAGCACATTCACCCCCACTCCACTCCACCCCCAGTTCTGACAAGCAAAATGTCTCTAGATAGAACAAAACTTCCCCTGGGGGGGACACAGTCATCCCCAGTTAAAGGCCACTGCTCTAGTCTTCAAAAACGCACTCCTATGACCATAGCTAAGATTTGGGAACAGTCTAAGTACCCATCAGCAGATGAGTGGATTAAAAAACTGTGGTACATCAGCCGAAGACAGTTTGGCTCAGTGCATAGAGCGTTGGCTTGAGGACTGAAGAGTCCCGGGTTTGATTCCGGTCAAGGGGACATACCTTGGTTGTGGGCACATCCCCAGTAGGGGGTGTGCAAGAGGCAGCTGATCGATGACTCACTCTCATCGATGTTTCTTACTCTCTATCCCTCTCTCTTCCTCTCTGTAAAAAAATCAATAAAATATATTACAAAAACAAACATGTCAAAATATGTACACAGATAATTTAATAAAAAATATATATTAAAAAATAATAAAAACAAACTGGTACATCAAATACTATGCTGCAGTAAAAAAGGAGTTCTTGCCATTTGCAACAGCATGGATGGAACTGGAGAGCATTATGCTAATTGAAATAAGGCAGTCAGAGAAAAGATAAATATCACATGATCTCACTCATTTATGGAATATAATGAACAACATAAACTGATGAACAAAAACAGATCCAGAGACAGAGAAACATCAAACATTAAGCCTTAGAGGGAAGGCAGGGGAGGATGGGGGTGAGGGGGAGAGATCAACCAAAGGACTTGAATGTCTGCATATAAGCCTAGCCAATGGACACAGACATCAGGGAAGGGAGGGCATGAGACGGGGAGAGAGGGGGATGAGGGGATAAGGACACATATGTAATACCTTAATCAATAAAGAAATTAAAAAAAACAAAACCCTGAAACTTTTCTAGTGGGATCCAAAGCAGACGCCCTTGTCCCATGTTCAATTCTAGAGGCTGTAATAAAACAGCCTGTGACTCAGATCCAATAAGGAAGGATGAAGGAAATAGACTAGGTTCGCTGGGCTTCCGCAGACCTACATTCCTCCTCTCCCCCACCCCCTCCAGGAAGGTATCTAGGCTGGAAGGCAGAAGGCAGAGGCCATTTTAATCTTGGCTGATGAATAGAAGCTACATGGGCATTTAAATGTGTATTTAAAATGCTCTGCCTCCATAAACCAAAGGTTGTAGCATTTGTAACGGGCAGAGCATTTACACGGAGCTTTTGCCTTCAAACCGCCAAGCTATCAGCTTCTGCTAATATTCTCGAGGGGCACGGTTGGCCCTCTTCCATCTCCGAGATGATTCAGGTTTCCTGGAGAACAAAATGAGCCTCTAATGCCCAATATTTTTTCTCTGACAGATGGTTTCAGATGTATCAAAGTGCTAATCCTTGCTGAGGTATAGGTCTCCAGGAAGGAGAGTTTGGCTTTTAGTATGATAGGACTTGAATGATTAAGGAGGAAAATTACTCCCAGGATATTCGCCATTGTCATGTGAGCAACCCGCTTCAAATGAAGACGGCAGAATTGGGGGAAAAAAAAGATTTGAGGAAAGAGAGGAAAAACTAAAAAATCCAGGTTAGCAGTTTAGGTTTGAAACATTTCCATCCAAAGACATCTCTGGGAGTGGAAATGAAGTTGCCAATAAAATCATCTTCAAGCTCAGGGAGATTAGGGTTCAATCTCTCTCTCCCCCGCCCTGCCCCCCACCCCCCCAACATCATCATTTCGGCCCCAGTGTGTGTAAGTTCTGAAAACAGAGGGGCCTGGGTCTGAATATCTGCCTTGCCACTTGCTAGCTGTGTGACCTTGGGCATATTATTCGACCTCTCCGAGCCTCAGTTTCCCCACCTGTATGACGTGACATAATATCTACCTCAAAATGAGGTTAAAGCCAAAACCGGTTTGGCTCAGTGGATAGAGCGTCAGTCTGCAGACTCAAAGGTTCCAGGTTCGATTCTGGTCAAGGGCATGTACCTTGATGCGGGCACATCCCCAGTGGGGGGTGTGCAAGAGGCAGCTGATCAATGATCCTCATCGATGTTTCTAGCTATCCCTCTCTCTTCCTCTCTGTAAAAAATCAATAAAATATTTTTTTAAAATGAGGTTAAAAGTTAACGATCCAATGTATGCCTAACCTGACACATGCTAAGCATTCAGTTAATGCTAACTGTCAGCAGAAACTAGTCTTTAGTGTTGACCTACTAGGTGCAGGCTCCTTTCATGCCCACCTCTGAGTCTGGGGGGAGGGGGTTGGTAAAGGTTTGATTTTAGATAACAGACAAATAGTTATTTAATGCTCAGGATCCGAGAGACTGGGTCCTTCACCTAAGGTCACAGAGCTGCACACAGAATTCAGACCCAGGCCGGCCTGACGCGGGAGCTGGGATCTGCCCGCGTCCCCACGTGGAGGTGGCGGGATCGGGAGTTCCTGGGGCGAGGTCACCACACCGGGTCAGAGGTCACTCACTGTATTCCTCCAGCCGCATGAGGGGCCGGAAGTAGATGGGGTAGAAGGCGGCGCCGACCAGGGAGATGAAGCCGCCGAAAATGAGCGCGGTCCGGAGGTTCCGGGACATGGCGCCCGCAGGGACCTGCCCCGACCCCGACCGGCTCTGAACCCCGCACCTCGGAGTCCCGCTCGCGCCGCCGGGTCCTGACCCGGCGCGGAAGAGGCGGAGCCGCTTTCGCTTCCGGGCCTGGGGGCGTGGCCAGGAGGCGGGCGGGGCGGGGTCAGAGGCGGGCTCTGGGGGCGAGGCTTGGTAGGGGCGGGGCCTCGGGCCAGCGCTCTCAGGTTTCAGCGTGGAGTTGCATTCATTGCTCTCCCTTAGGCTGTTCTGCTCCCGGCCTTGCCCCTCCCTCGGCCTGGCTCCCACCTCAGCCGCCCCACCCCCACTCTTTAGACCTCCTCTGCCCCAGCCTCCTTTGCCAAGCAAGCATTCCTGTCCTTCCCGAGTTGATTGGATTTTAGCAACTGTCTACAAACTGTGCTCTTTGTGGCTCCCTCACTCAATCCTCATATTAGTCGGCCCATTTCACTGGTGAGGGAACCACGATTTGGCTGCCTGGCTTTGGACAAGTCTCTTGGCCTCCCTGAGGGTGGTTTGAGGGGATTAGAGACAAAGGGACAAATCGCCTGCCACAGCATGGCCTGCAGGTGGATTCTGAACCCTGAGCCACAGGAGCTTCTGGACCAAGACTATCCTGGGAGGCGTGTTGTCTCAACATCCATGCTCTAAGAAGACTTTTAATGACTCGGCTTTTCCATCCCTCCTGTTTCCCTGTTCCCTTTACCAGTGAGGATGGGGAGTAGATGGACATCAGCACAGGGCAGTGAGCCTGTGGCCAGTCCCACAGATGGGACCTTGAGGCTCTGCCTCATTGCCTGGGGTGGGAGGCGACTGAGGACAGCCATCTGCTTTCTCTTTCTGTGGTGGCCATCCTCCATCCTTCTGGATGAGCTGTGCCTGCCTATGACCTGCCCAGGGATATGCTGGGCGGCTGAGACTAAGATTCCTCAGACCGGACCATCACGCAGTCTTTTACAACTAAGAATGATACCTGCAGCTGGGAGCTGGAGAGCAGAGAGGCTATTTCTCTTGACCCCAGCAGCATTATTTAGTCCAGGGAAGATCTATGGTCTTTCAGAAATGGCGTGCCGTCAGAGCACAGGTTCCTCTTTCTTTGTAGTTTTGTCATTGAATCAAGCTACTCTCTACGTCTGTGGCTCCAGAAGAATATAAATCAGGTGTTTGATCTGTCAGCAGATTTATGAACTATCAGCCGTGCCCCCAAACACCAGGCAAAGTGCTACAGGGGACACGGAGATGAGTAAGAGGTGACCCTTGCTCTCCAGGAACTTGCCATGTGGATGGAGAGACGGGACATTATACATAAAAAGAAAACTAATGACCCGGTGTTGCGGGTGAGTGATATGGTCCTGCGGGCTACAGAGGTTCAGAGGAGGAAGACAGATGGCTGTGCGATCAGGCAGCTGATCCTCAGGCGTTTGCAATAGCTTGTTAGGGTGAGGACAGAAGACTTCATAGCAAAGAGGGAATGAAGTGATGCGTGCTTTATATCACGTGATATGAAAATCCCTGTAGAGCATATTTGTTACTTTAGCGGCATCCACTTCACTCCCAGTTAATAGTACCCTGAAATGCCGAAACCGGTTTGGCTCAGTGGATAGAGCGTTGGCCTGTGGACTGAAAGGTTCAGGGTTCATTTCTGGTCAGAGGCATATACCTTGGTTGTGGGTGCATCCCTGGTGGGGGGTGTGCAGGAGGCAGCTGATCGATGACTCTCTCTCATCGATGTTTCTAATTTTCTATCTCTCTCCCTTCCTCTCTGTACAAAATCAAGAAAATATATATATATATTTTTTTTAAAAATAGTACCCTGAAATATCTTTTGGCAAATCACCCCTCTCCCATTCTCAATCCATGAAGTAAGCTGGGGCTTCTCTCCCCACTCAAACCCTTATTTTCCCTCAGCTCCAAGAGTAAGCATCTAACCACACCTGACTAAGCTCCCTCACCAGAGGGGTTGATCCTCCAATAGAGCTGCAACTTCCTACCCACATGACCCATGTTGAGCCAACCATAGTCTGTCCCAGCTGCTGGGAAGCTGACTTTGAACTTGAGATGACTAGACGGGAGCTGCTGGGGACCACCATTTAGAGACTGAGAATGAGGACAATGCATCAGAGGCCCAAGAGACAGAGAGAAATCAGATGCTGGCGTTACATTTGAACCCCTGAAGCCAGCTGTGCCTGAAGTGGGACCTATCCCTGACCTTCTCTGTAGCACAAAGCCCCTCATTCCCTGGAGCCAGTTGGGATTTCTGTCTTTGAAAAACAGAAGGAGTCCCAGATGAAATCGCCAAGGGAGGGATTTCATTTGCTTAACATCTCCCTGAGTGGCGAGGCAAGGATTGCCCTGTTTTATAGAGCATCCGTGCCATTTGTATAAGCTTATTAGCTTCATCACACCAAAAATAGCACTTGCTTGCTACCAAATATAAGGTCCCAGAGTGCTCCCTGTTTCTGGGAACCCCGCCGACCTATAAATTAAATCAGCAAAGTTTACAGTGGGCCTACTCAGGGCCAAGCACTGAACTCGTTGGCAGGGTACACCAAAAGGAAGCAGTCAGCATTGGTGTATTCACCCAAGTTCACTGAGGCAGGAACAATGTGCCGGCACTTTTCAGGTGTTGATGGAGGCAGCAGTATTTAACAGGGGAGTCCTCCATCCTCATGGTGTCCACGGTCTGGTGAAGGAATGAGATGTGGCAACACATACCTAGTCATTGTTGTTTGGTCTCTGAGCCTTTCCTCCTAATAGCTCCTGATGCTTCTCGTCGTGACATTCTTGGTTGAACTATGAATCTAGGCACCCTGTACACTCCTATCAATCCCAATATCAGGGTGTACAACACTTCCCTGTGCCAGTCACCACCACAGGCTTACCCATGCAGTACTCCCCAGCCACCGTGAATAGGTGTCTCCACTTGCAGAGGGGGAAGCTGGGCATAACAAGAATGGCTAGCTCAAGGTCACGCAGCTAGTAAGTGGCAGATCTGGGATTCAAGTCCAGCTGTTTTATCTCCAGAGACCTGCTCTCGCCATTACTCTACACTGCCTTGCAAAGTCAGGGAGCTCACGTTGTCTGAGTGTGAGTTCAATGCTAACCTGGTCTGGTTGTCCTTCCTCACAGAAATCAGATTTGTAGGGATGAAAACATAAGGACTGATAGTACAGATGCAGTGGATTTTTTTTCCCATTGATAATATTATCATGAGGTTTTTGCATATCTTCCACTTGCCCAAAACTCTGGAGCTTCTGTCTTCCACCCTTGCAGTCTGATTCTCTACTATTCATGGTATTTTGCAGATTGTCCAATGTTGCTTCCAGTAACTCCTTTTGACCAATAACTTATTTAGGTCCTCTTTCAGTTTTGTTGTTATTGTTTTAATGTTAATCCTCACCTGAAGATATTTTTTTTCCCATTGGTTTTTAGAGAGAGTGGAAGGAAGGGGGAGAGACAGAGAGAAAAACATCGATGTGAAAAAGACATATGGATTGGTTGCCTCTGATACATAGCCTAGGGCAGTAGTCGGCAAACTGTGGCTCAAGAGCCACATGCGGCTCACGAGCCGAGGTTTGCCGCTCTATTGACTAATGAGTTTGCCGACCACTGACCTAGACTCACAATTTCAGTAATTACAGGATGTTTTTGTTCCTTATTAAGCCCCTATCCCAGTGGTCTGCAAACTCATTAGTCAACAGAGCAGCAAAATGCGGCTCGCTTGGCTGCATGTGGCTCGCAAGCTGTAGTTTGCCGACCACCGGCCTAAGGCACCTAGACCTGGGCCGAGAACAGAGCCTGCAATCGAGGTACATGCCCTTGATCAGAATAGAATCTGAGACCCTTCAGTCTGCAGTCCAAAGCTCTATCCACTAAGCAAAACTGGCTAGGGCCAGTAACTCCTTTTGGATTTCAATTAGAATCAGTTTTGCTTGCATGGCGCCCAATAGAGACAGATATTTCCACATGGCTTAGACAGAGGGCTTGGGCTTCAGAGCTGTGTGAATGTCTGTGAAAGCCAGAGGGAGTGTGGGTCTGGGGGAAGGTGTTTGTACAGAGAGAGAGAGAATGAGAAAAAGAGGGAGAGAGAGGGAGAGGGAGAGAGAGAGAGAAAGAGAGAGAGAAAACATGCTCCGGATATAGGGAGACAGGATGATGCAAGTCAAATATGTCAGGAGTCCTAGGGTGCGTATTTTCATCTCAATCAGTGAGGAAAAAAAATTGGTTTGGGCTCCTACCCAGCACTTTCTGCTTCTTTCCTTGGATGTGAAGATTGAATGCTTGCAGGGAGCAGACCACCAATGGTGTCTTGCACGGGTTTCAGACAGACATCAAAGTTAATCCGCTCTCTGATCTAAGCAAAATGGTGATGAGGGTTTCATGGGACAGCAGCTCCGCTAATTGTGGCACTGCCGCACAGCTGATGTATTTTTAGAATGTTGTGGGTTTCCAAGAAGTATCAGTACTTCCTGCAGGAAAACAGTCAGGCTGGGAGATAGGGGTTTGGAATAGAGCAGGATCTAATGCAGGACCCTCTGGACCGTGCTTCTGAGACAATGCAGGGGAATGCTCCTCTGGGTTCACCAGGCACTCTGGTTTTGAGTGCCTACTCAGCTGAATAAATATTTCCAATTTCGATCATTTGTTGACTTTTTCTTCTTTGATCTGCTCTTTACATATGAGAGTTCCCCATGTGACTTGTCATACTACGCACCCCACAGTGATAACTAATACCTTTATGACTTCCAGAGCCAGGTGACCAGAACCAGCCTTCCTGCTGAACTCTAGCCTCAGGTACCTGATGGACATCTTTGGGATCCAGATACACTTGTTCCTACTCCCCCACTCTTCTCTCCCCTTGCCACTGGCTTGGTTTGAGGCTACACCAACCCTCCCTGGCCATGGCCTCCTCACTCATCTTACATATGCCATCTTCTTTGTCGTAAACTGCCTCATTCAGGGGGTAACCAAAGTTGTCTTCGGAAAACATA